AAGCGATAAGCGTTCACTGCAGACATCCCTTTTCTTCCACAATACCGTCTGTCGTCTGCTGTTTGCTTGCTAATGATTGCCGGCGCAACACGATCCCTACCCACAACTCTCGCCAACCTCCCGCGAGACTTGACAACGTTACCCGTACAGCAAGCCAAACATTGGGGATAAACGTAGGAAAAATACATTAGAATTTACTCGCACCCTTTAGACCCTCTCGCGTTAGTACTTGACCGGTACACCCGTATATGAAATACTATAAAATGCAATGAAATTCGGCACCATTGACAGCGTTTCAAACACATCTCTCACCAAACTCGGCGTCGCCATTAGCGATGGCGGACGGGTAGACGACAAATGTGTTCATGTTCTTTACAATGGTGGGGCGACGACGGACACGACCAGTGGCGACACCCCGGATGACACGTGCACAACAGACACAGAAATTATTGTCTTTGGTACTAATTACGATATTTGTGAAGGCGAGGCATCGAATCGCACCTCACCTGCTTCGTCAGTTCACGTCCGGTTTGAGGACTCGGGTGTCCCTCGGCTCGCGGTTTAGACAAGCAGGGTGTTTTCTTTCATTCAAACATAAGGGAATAATAATAATGCTGAGGTGCAACTCCAAATTATCATTGTCTGGATCAAGGTACCGTGAAAAAACTAAGGAAAGTGATAATTAAATCAGAGACACTTTTCCGTATGCATTGGTCTTTGATGACAGATAACGGTGTTATTAACAACTTAAATAACACAACCTATATTAAGCATTACGTTTTTCGGTTATAAACGTATATTATAAACTGCTGGGGAGACGAAAATATACACTTGAAAATTGGATCTGACGTCATTACAAACGTCATAAAAACGTTACTGGGCTGAAAACAGTCGCCGAAACACTGCAAACTTAAGGTCCAAAACACAACTATGATACCCGTATAAATTACATTACCATCGAATAAACATTTCTTGTTTGTTTCATTTTCAGCCATCATCAAACCTGGGTGTATACTTTCTTTTTCTCGGCAGTTTATATTCTTTTTGAAAATCCTTTTTTGCAAGAAAGACTAAAACGTTATTGTATATAATACTTATATAACATGGTTGGCAGGCTTGATAAGGCTGACATCTGGCATTTTCAAGCATAAAAATATCGTGTCTAAACCATTAAAACCTTTTTAATACTCTTTTCACTAAATATCATGCCAAGTGGTACTACGTAACTTTTTTAATTTAACAAAGAATTCAAGGGCAAAAAGATTAAGAGTTGAAGACAATACCTCCCCTGATCTACACTTTAAGCGTTAACAACTTATCTGCCCACGTGCACATGTTACCGAAAGTAAAAATATAATTGAAACTGATTTGGGAATCCTGCTAATTTTGCACAGTGACATTTTTGGCAGCGTCAACACCTCCCAACTCGACCACTACAGTCTCAAATGACATAATCAGTCACACACGCGAGATACGGCATATGGAGCCCTATGGAACCCTCTTCAGAATAACTCCATCGCTAGACTAAGCCTAAGAAAGAAAACTGTCAATTGTTATTTTCAACATCAAAAGCTATCTAGCGCTATTCTTTTATTCCTTCTGACAAGGGCGCGTAGCGACATGTCATAAAGCGTCCCTCGTCGAACGTCATTTGGCCGGAATATGGCAGGGAATCACAAGTAGTGAAAAGGGGTTAGCAAAGGTTACAGAAAAGGTTTTCAATTCGATGCAGCTGCATTGCAAGTAATGCCATAATCGCACAGGGTAAAAATTGAATTGGTTTCTTCTGCGAGTACTTATGCCTGCTTGGTTTGGCTTCCCGGTTGCTGTTTTATACCGTTTGTGACGCCATTGATTCCGATTCTTTAAAGTAGGCGACAAATCGCAACAGGGTCGTGCTTCTTTCTGGAGTAGACCCACCCCTGCACTCTAGTAAAGGAGAATAAAAAACACAGAACTACTGAATACGCCCCAGGCCACAGTGACATCTAGGCTTGAGCGAGAAAGGAATCCCATCCACATGACGATGCGTACGACATATTGTCAGGAGTCCGTGAAAGATAAAATGGTGGTGGAGCTGTAATGCAGGGGTAATGGTATACAGAAGTCAACATTCCATAATATCATTGTTTTGGGAGATGAAAAGCTGGGAGCAGAGACTGTCGTGTTTGATTCCAGTTCAGGATTCCATGGATATTGGCGGTGCCAGGGAATGTTCGCTCGTGACATGCAAGATGGATATGAAGCAGACGACAACATGGGCAACTGACACAAAGCCGCGCGGAATGTGCCGGATGCATAAATAGCTCTATGGGTCATGCACCCGGATTCTCAGACCGAACAGAAATAAATTCCATGAAGGGTAGCATCGGTTAAAGCGATGGTGTATTATAGCAACTTCAGAAATTAAAAGATAGGCAACGAAACCAAATAGTATCTCAGTAGTAAGTACTATAGTCAGTGGGCTACCATAACCAAATGGAACTTGGAACCGGATGGGTTCTGTTTTCTGGTAGAAACTGTGTGAAAAGGAAACATCAACATTATATAATCTTGGAGGTAATGGAGCGAAGAAGGTGACACTTTTCCTGCGTTTCAGAAAAAAAAGTTTTCGCAATCATAACCGGAGTTTAAATTGCACATTGAAATTTCAAAATGTTGTTTTCCTTAAAGATTAATCCATATCTCTATGATTTTATATCAATGTTATTTGTAAGTCGGGGTTCTTATACCACTACAATTGCGGTTTTGTCGCTGGGTGCGGGTGCAACAAGACCTGGTCAGTGTATTACACAGTTTTGGAGTAAGTGCACAACCCCTTCGTGTAAAGAGCAAATAAAATCTCATTCACAAAGTAGAAAGTCAAATAGACCAAACGTAATGTTGGATGAAATATTATGAAACGTTAAGAGTTACAGTTATAGCTCGTGCCAAGTTCCAGTCCAGATCTACACGTTGATAATGACTGCCTTTTGTGAACTCGAGTCACATTTTTTCTATAAGGAAATTTTTAACTCTTAAATTACTTTACATGGCAATTTTTGAGTTAGTACACAATCAAAATGAAATCGCAAATGAATTTAATCAAATTTGCTAGGACTGCAATCTGACCCGAACACCGTCAAATCTGGCAATGATTGAGTTCGGTTTTTTTAAGTTTTTAGAAATCTGCCAAGAAACAATTCCTCAAATTACCACCCAGGCTATATATCTTCACTTGAGCGAATCTGACCGTTTTCAGAATTTGTATTTCCCTCTCAGGGTCCACATTCCATGTAATGAAACAGTCCATTATAATGTCAGCTTGTATTAGCCAGTAACATGCCTGCGTTTTCTGCCATCCGTGACCTTTGCCCAACCAACAATGCACATGTCATAGAGCATAACGCATGAAGACATACCAGTCTATGTGATGCGTACGAATTTCAAACTATCACCATTCAGTAGTTTTCCTGATATAATTTAGCTACAGCTATAGCTAAATTGTATGCAAATATATTTTTTCTTGCACTCGTTTCCATCTGTTGGTTAAGCCGGGAGTCTATCGGAGAGCATTACATAAACTCCCTGGTTAAACCACATATTCCGTTGATGGTGGTATATACTACTCAAAAGAAGTTAAAGAACATGACCGATTAACCAGAGGCATATGAAACAATGGGGTGTTCTTGACTCCTTTTGAGTAGTATGTGCGATTATGTTTACTCTGTATTCACGTCAACGTGTATGGGTACAACAGTTGTTGATGACATGATGGCATACGTTTCACTGATGCATGAACTGCGACAACCTTCACTGCTAGTGTCAATGCCACCCCCCTGAGCAGGATACAGGACGTGACCCACAGCCACCGGTGCGCAAGTGGTAACCACGGTTGTTACGGAAGGTCCTGCATATCACGTTGAGGAACGACCCTGGGTTTTCTTCCAAGGGTCATTGTGGTACAGACAACATGCAGCCGCTTATTCTCGGGGAGAATCCACTACGCCTTCTGGTAGAACACCCGGCGAAGTTTCATCTAGTAACACCTTGAAGGTACCTCGAAAACGATCCTTTTATTTTCAAATCTCGGATCGAATTTTGTGTTAGGAATCGGATTGGAATTCCTTATGTCCCCAGTCGCCTCTTTCAACGGATTGTTCAGTTACACCAGGAGTAACTAAGTGTGTGCACTTTCGAAAGATGGACTCTATGATCCATATGTTATCATTTGTTTGAATTAGAAAATATTTGAAACAATGTAGGTATTTACAGGCACTTTTCCTGACAATCAATAATGGCAGGTAGTCCTATAGTTCCATACATACTCCCCGATAGTAATGGACACTTCGGTACCGGCACTTCTAATAAATCAGCGTATTGTGTCAGTGTCTGTAACGCTTCATCAGTGCATGGTTATAGTTATGCCAAATAGACATATTGTATACATTATCTATAATAACACTTACATGGATAAAGAAACTGATTTACCATGCATGTGGTAACATCTGAGAAACATTCATGTGTACATTTTAAAAGTGGAATTAAACTACTCCTATGCACATTTGTGCCAGCATCTGAAAAGAAAGAAAGGGTGAGGTTGACCAATCTGTTTAGAAGCTCCAGGATTGGCACTTTTGTGACCAACCGCCATGACCGGCTGACAAGGGCCTGGGCAAATTAGGACATGGACATTTGAAAGGAAAATTGGCAGCCATCTTTGCTTTCGGGGGGGACATCATTTTCTCATCTTAGGGGACACAATACACGCATACGCGCGCACGCACGCACGCACGCACGCACACACACACACACAATGTTTCTCATCAATTCCAGATTTTAGAAATGGCAAAGTGACCAGGCTTTTCTTTTTCTTTTTGTTTCAAAACACATTTGTCTCCAAGCAAAAGCATGGACCCTGTGTATTCCTTCTTTATTCATTGTTTTTTTCTATTTACATAGATCCCTTTACCACAACAGTGTTTAACTGTACTTTACAACAAATAACTCAAGTTTGCCCATCATATTGTGTAATAATTTATTATCAACTGTACAGTATGGCCATGTCCAGTACTGTCCAGCACAGAAGGACATCCAAGCAGTAGACACCAACAAACCAAATACTGCTGCAATCAATCTGTAAAAAAGCAAGACAACAAGGACACACCTACACTGTGAATGTTCAAAGTTGTATATCACAGTCATTGTTTGTTTTCCAGCATTCACCTTAACTGCACTCTCCAATGATGAGGCACAACATCCACAATACAGATGACGTGGACCTCAGAATCATCAATCAAAAGGCAAACTGTGAGGAAGCTGAGCCATATGTGCTCAAACCAAATTTAAGTATTATGTTTTGATTAACCAATCAATCAGTACATATTAAGACGTTGGTAAACAAGAAGGTGAATGTGGAACAAAACTAATACCAAGGACATGTAACTATGCATTGCTCACTCTTATACAGGGACACTGGACCTTGCACTACTAACACACAACAGAATGGGTGGGTTCACAACACAGGTGCACACATACATAACTACTTATGGCCAGTCAACACAAGCATCACTTACATTGATAAGAACAGAGGACACACCAGTCAAATTGCAGGATCAAGGTTAACCTGGTTATTCAACCATATTCATGTAAAATGACAACAATTTGTCAAATACAATTAAACAATTACTAAAGGAATGTGAAGCAAGTATACAAAGATGCATAGTAAACAGGTATCGCCACAGGAATACAAAAAGCAAACCATCAAATATATTATGTAAGTATTCACTGCTAGATATTCTTACCTTCAGTATGTACAGATATACATTATTGGTATTCAAATGATGGCTAATACTGACAATAAGATCAAGGCCATCTTTGCAACAAAGGCAGGGTTAAATAATTATATGTACTGAATGCAGCTATAAATAAAATGGTAGACATGTGCAAGCACAGAGATCGATTTACTCCTATTGTTCTTGATAAATACCATAACAAAAGGAATTCTGTACTATAGAACTACAAACAACAAGCAACATGTATTTCCATCAATACAATGTGTCTGTACTGTGGACATGCAATTCTAATGAAATCATTTTAGAAAAAAATGTACAGTTTGTTTTGGGCCTAGTTCTATTGATATGCCTTTTTGCATTAGTTTCTACATCCACTTATCAAACAGATCAAATGCAAACCACTGATAATCACATCACACTACTAACAGAAACAGACACACATAAAAGGGTAGGAAAATAGTTCAGATCATTACAGCAAAAACATCTGATCAGAAACATTTAGCAAACACTGAGATTAACTGTAGTTTAGAAGACTCAACACATAGATCACAGACTTCAGACAAGGAAGACCAAGAAATAGCATGGTACATGCTTGTTGACTAACAGAACAATGCAGATGTAGCTCCTGCAGAGGCAGGTATTCATTACAAAATTTACCTGCAGGACAATTATACACACGGAAAAAAGTGTAGCACCTCGTACTATATATTTCCATACAAAATACCGGAACCCATATTTTGACACATTTGTTTTTGTTTCTGATCCATTCACATAATTTTCACTGCTATTTTGCCTTTAATATGCCCACTGGGATCTGTTTCGGCACATGATCGAGATTGGTTATTCTCCGACATTGAAGTGACATACTCATATGAACATACAGAAACCAAAATTGATTATCTAATGACCTTATTCATATGGCGATGGTTATTTGACTACCTTTTCAATTGAGTCCCCTGCTTCTTTGTCATGATGCTGTGATAGAACTGTAATAATGTTCAAAGGGACATTATACAACTCACTCACTCTTTGCATCATGTGATATGACTCAGTTACAGTCTTCTTGTACCAACTCTTCAGCAGGTGTCGGTAGTATCTTACACATATAAAATTTAGAAAAATGTCATATGTTTTTATTTCCAAAAGTTACATGGACGTTCAGGATATATGAAAACAAAGATGGTTGGTGCTTAAATTCTTTCCAGGTGAATAGTAGCTTCCACAACATATGAAGGATTCTGCCCCTCACTTTTGGCATAGATGCTGTTTTGGCATAGATGCTGTTCGAGATATATACATGTATTTTGTCATTGTCCTCTCTATTGATATGGTTGTTTGTTGAAGAATTAGGATTTCAATTTCAAGGATATCAGCAACTTTGCAGAATATCAGAAGGGTCAATCATTCAAGATGTGAGTTAGCACCTTGGTTAAACAGCTCATGTTGAACAACAGGGTATACTTAACAAAACAATATCAGTATAAAAGTGTACACGAATACTGCTGTTAAAAATATATTCTGGGTTCTCAGGCACCAATGCAGCAGAAAAATACCCTCATTCAAGATAACAAATGAAGATTTGGCCTTGGGTAGAACTCTTCTTCATAAAAATCAAAGTGTGAATGGTGTTTTATGCTGCAGATAGCATTTTTAATGTTATATCACAGTAGTCTTCACACCAATAAAATAGAATTGTCCATGCAACTGCACCAATTTGTCAGAAGTGATTGCCTGAGAAAGGACCATTTCAACACACTTCTCTTCAAGCCTCATTATTACTCCCACTGTTATTAACACAAACTACCCTCAGAAACATCAGTCATCAATAAAAACCTTATTTAATGAATTGAAATTAATGTCCATGAAAATCAACTGGAATATGTCCACAGTATAAAAAGAAGATTAAACAATGAGCACCTATTTTTATTGATTTATTTCAACATGAATTTTGAAATATAAATATTAAATTAAATATTTACCAGAGCATTATTTATCTTTTGCAAATAAACATGTGTTTGTGTCATTGCTTTCATCAAAGGAGGAATGACACAACTAAAATAATCAAACTTATGGTATTTATGTCATAAGCAGTAAAGTTTGACTCCCTTTGGAAAAGTCACTGTTAATGAATACCTTGTTACATTAAATCAAATGTATCATAAACAGGCAAGTACCAGATAGGTATAAGGGCCAGTGGCCTTAAGTACAATAATAACTCACAGTGGTTAAATGATACCATGTGTCATGATTAACCAACAGTTTTTAACTGGGTGTGCATATAAACACTTGTAATATAAAACAAGACTTGATATAATCAACTTGATATAATGACTTCTGAGTGGACAAAGTCTGCAATGAAAAGTACAATAACAAAAGTTTCAGGAAAAAGGTAATGCCTTCCCAAAGTTGTTGTTTTTCCCCCGTACTGGAAGTAAATCACAAATGCATTCATACAGATCATCAACAACTCTTTGGTAGCTAGTTATAATGATATTGCTCATTAATCTATACTGTACAGAATTCATCAATAGATCTCTTTGACTTGTGCTTTATGAAACATGTGGTAACATCTTACTTGAAACAACATCAATGCTTTGCAGTGAAGATTGGGTAGCATCTTGACATACATGGCCAAACAAAAACAGGTGGAATTCAATTACTCAACTTTGCCTTATGTGTTCTCCTGACCTATACACATTTATAAGATGACCGTTGTCTTGGCTAATCCAACATCAATTCATAACAACCTCACTACTTTTCAAGTCTACAAAAAGATTACAAGTTTTGTGATTGTGAACATCTAGATCAAAACTTTCTAAAAGCAATTTCCCAGCTACAATGTTTTGTTCAGCATGTGACAGGAATCCATAAGATTTTTCTTTTGAGAATTAATGACAACCAAGAACCACAGAATTTAGTCTTTGCTATCAAAGATGCACATATGACACTGTATAGCTATGCCACACCTATACTTGAAGACCTGTCATCACTCTCAATACACCATCGTTTGTCTTACAGCCGGGCCTTGGGCTAGAGTCAGTGAGAGCTGAAACACTGTAATCAATGTCAGAGGAAAGCGACAAAGACATGGATGTCAGTGCTGTGTATACGAGTAATGCGTTCCTGACATCAAGTCATACCACAGCATATAGTAAATCAGTCTACAGTGCACAGCAAGTCATATCAGCAGATGGCCATCAGCACCAATAGACCTGACATCTACAGTGTCATGGTGCCAGCATCTAGGGCATCACCTCCTACTCCACCTTGAAGTACTCCTGGGCAACTGTCCACTGTTCTGGAGGGAACCGGCTGGCAAGTGTCATCCTAGACTCTGTGTCGCGGTATTCTTTGTCTGTAAATAAAGGGAATAAGTACATTCATCATTACAGTGGCACAGATAATGAGGCATACCATGATCCTACAGACAAACAAAATTCTCAATCTATTGGACTAACTGAAATTAATGGAATTCAGAAGGTTTTCTAAGATACATCATCATAAAGAACTGATGATTTAACTAAGTAGGTTTCAAGATGAAAGCCTCCATGACAAATAAAACTTTTAAAATCCTGTTAAATGTTGGATACCAGGGGTTTATATTTACTCTAGCTTTTTTCTGGCTACAACCTGCTTTTACAATACATGTAGAAGCATGTATCTACAAACTCAGGTGGGGTGAGGTGAAACGGGGTTTGATGTCCCATCCAAGATTATTGCACTTATAAAGTGACATGCATGCATGCATGTACTTGTGTGTATGTGTATGTGTGTATGTGTGTGTGTGTGTGTGTGTGTGGCTGCTTGTACTAGTCTGGACTGATGCAGATTTATAGTGCTAGCTCACTGACATACCATGCCACAGTTTAACATGAATACCCCACTTAGACACAGTATACTGACACCGAACCGACCAGTCCTTGTTTTAGTCCCTTACAGGGTAACAACAAGTACCATCTTTTAACATCTTTTGGCATGACGCGTCTGGGGATCGAACCCCTATCCTTCTGCTCTCCAGGCGGACGCTCTACCACTAGACCACAGAGGCGATGCTACAAACTCAGGAAAATTCAAGGTACTTATAAGTTATTAAACTGTCCCAAAAAACACTTTTTTCCCAATAAAATTTATATTACTTTATATTGTTAATACCAGTAAACCAATATTTAACCATGATTAGGAGGTCCATCAAGTCTTTGCTGAGACACTAGACGTGCATCAAATAATTATTACAGTCTCTAAGCAAATAATTATTAGTTTTAATCATACTTCCTGGATTATATATAAATGATAAGAACAAGCTGTCCCAACATGTACTGTCCATATATCTAGACTTGCCTATGATAAGGATAGCATTACTATACATCCATGGACTTATCATTCAGTGCAGCCTTGGAGCAAGGCTGATGAGACACAATCTACTTGAAAACTGCGATGAACTCACATTCCCATTTGGATTCATGAAGCTATTGAAACTTTCTTCATCAGAAAGTAATTGAATTTAGTTATCATAACTTATACATATTTAGAACTTACAAACTATGTATTCATGAAAATAGGGTTGTTGAAACTGTACAATTGTCATTTAGCCAAAGTAAATAACAAAACTGTCCATCATTTAAATCATTACATTCTGAATATCATCAGTTTCAAATATTATCTTCCTGTTTTGCTGAGTAAATGAATATATACAAAGGTTGTTATTATGACAATTTATCTGCTAATAAATCTTAAAATGTGTGTTATTTGATATGTTAATTTGTTTTTATAATAGTGAGCTATCTTTTAGTAATAAGCTGATGATGGCTATGATTAATGCATTATTCAGATCAAGACCACATGGAATAATTTGGAAATTTAATCCGATGTTTTTGAGACGTTTATTTTGCTAAGCAGAAAGGCCCTCTAGGTTAAGAGCTGAGTTACTTTGTGAAGAAAGAGTTTGACTGATGGAGGGATGTTTACTGATGCTAATCAGCCTCATCCCATGACATGATGACACTCAGTGCTAAACCCTGGAATTCCATTTATCATTTTTGGTGTAGCATATTTCTTCAGCTTCTTCAAGTTATTAATCTATGTAGAATCTTTTTTAAATATTTTCAGTATGATAAAAAACAAACCCAAATGTAAATGGGCTTTTTTCACTATAACAATACTTAATTTATTAATATGTTTATCTTTTCAATGAAAAACTATGATCTTGCTACTGCATATGGATATAAGGAATAAGTGTGACAGGCTGATGTCTATGGTATTTTGGAGGTTGCCAAAAGGACATGAAAATTACTGGTTCCAAACAAACAAACATTTCACAAGCTGCAAAACCATTACTGCACATCTTCATGACACTTTTCTTTTTCAAATAATTCTTTAAAAAAAGACATTGTTTGATGATACAGTAACACAAATATAGGCCTGTCAGGAATACTTGGAAAACTGGTACTTAGAAAACCAGTTAAAGTTTCAAATAAGCAATCTGGATTTTGTTATTCTAGTTAATATTGTAAACAATCACTTGCAACTACGTTTGTGTTTATATTTGTTCATAAACTTGTATCAAAGAATAATCAAAGGCACCTCCCCTGACTCTCTAACAATCTACTGAAATCAGTGAAAAAGGTGGATGTTTGGCTTTGTTATTATGTCATCGTCAAAGATGAACGTGTTTTATCAAACTATCGCAATCCTATTGCAATAGTACAATATTACAATAGTATCACTAATGCAATAGTAAGAAAGACCCCAATAGTAACCCTCAGTGTATATACAGTTTAACTTTCCTGAACCATTTTGGTTGGGAATATAGGCATAGTTGAAATACATTGTAGCAACAGATATGCAATGAAAATATGCAACAAAATAATTTCAAACCAGAAACAACCACTGATCCACTGAGTGAGGAACCATAAAACATGAGAGGCCAGAATGACAATTATGTTAGGCTGCCATGGTGGTCATGGCCTGAACTGACACCATTCCATGGATCATCTATGCAAAACTCAGATTCACAGACCTTTTGATTCTCAGATAATGTCAAAAATATCTACAAAAGTAAACATGTCAAAACCTTTGGTTCACGTGATCTGACAACAATTTTCTCAAATGTCATGTTCTAAAAATCATTGCAAAATACAATAGAATTTTTAATTCCATACTTTGGTCCTCAACATTTTTTTACTTGAATGAAGCTAACCACACAGTTTTTCCAGCTACGGTCTCTAATGGAGGTATAGATGTAAAACAACAAACCCTCCCGAAGATATGATTAGATTAGGGAAATATGTGCCCCCTGCTGGCCATGATGTTGACAGTCTGCACCAGCCAAATGAAGAACACATACACACTTGATGATGGACTTGTGTTTTGCAAGTGTGTCAGGCAAAGCGCTTCATGTTCCGGGGATAATTACAATATTTATGTTACACCCTCCTACAAACAATCTTCATGACAAGATCTCTATCTGTAAACTCATTACTTCCCAGAAGTCGTCTGCTCACTTTAACTACCATCCTAGCACTGACAGGAACAACCCATTTTTAGATGCAGCAGTTTTATATAAACCTGATAAAAAAGATGTTTGCAAAATGTAATAAGAACACACTCGTTCATACATAGTCACATAATATTGCATATGCCTACAAGGGTCCTCAAGGTGTTCTGGAATAGTTCTTAATCGTTGACCTCCTTGACAGTGAGTTTCCAGTCGACAAACGGCATTCTAGAACAATTTTATGATGTTGGCAAATGTTGATAGGATATTGTTTTTAGGACATTCTTAAAACATGGGTTAAGGCAAGGGCCCTTTGACTTTCATTGTAAATTTCAAACAGCTCAATCATTAATTTTTAAGTATTTGTGACAATGAAATGAAGTTAAAAATGTTCAAACAAGATTGTGATGTGAGTACATGAATGAACAGAACTAAACAGGCTAAACAGTAGTGGATAAACATGTACATCAACTGGATCCTAGTTTCTCTCCGTCTATTTCATCACAACATTCACATAAAATCATCCTGGAACTTTACATTCAATAAACATGTCCTCTACAAATCCTAAATACATTTCACAAGTGATCTGTTGTTAATGGTAATTTTGAAAAAAATAATGATCAAGAGACCAGATTTCAGTCAACTCAAATCAGGCTTTCCAAAACTCCCATTGCCATTGATTTACCCAGTCCTGACACCCCACAATTGACATTTCTCTGGGGTGATTCATGAAGCAAAAGTGAAACTTGTCTTTCCAAGTCACACTCTAGAAAGTGATATGCTGACCACAGCCTTGTTTGAGCATCTCAAATCACAGCCTGCAAACTGACATCCTAATCACATCAGGCCCTCCCCTAGTCACAGTTAGTTGTCAAGAAAATAGCAGCCACAGATCTTAATGGGACCCATGGCCAATTGATATGTCTTTCTGCATGGACCATACAGTGAGGACATGTCGCTAGGTTCTGAAACTGTCATCATGCAGAATTTTCATAATTCAATCTACACTATTTGAGGGAAAAGGGAATTAACCTTTCAAAGTGAGGTGTTGTTGGGAACACTTTGATGACAACAGTGAGTGGTGTTTGCATTTACTTGCAAAAACCTCAATTTCCGCAAAGCGTAAAGTCTTAATGTACAACCGTGTACTTCCAGTCGAAAAAACACAGTACTTGACGACCTTGTCCTCAATCAAGAAAATTTCTTAAGATCCAACAATTACCAAGTCTAAGGATTGTACAAGTAAACAAACAACAGGAACTACAAGTTTTTGCATGAGATTTTTCTATTTCATGATCTATACCTTTGACCTTCTCACTTCATGTGGAATAAGATTGTAGCATACCGTCTTATTTTGCATATTTTATGCCTTTATGCAGCTTATCTTAAGATCATGCTTTAACCAGTAGGCTACCCGACAGCCCCTCCACTTTGAGTAAAGCTGCATACCTAATTTAACTGTTTTGATAGGTTGGCAAATGAGTTTTAATAACTGCCTGGAACATTATTTCAGCATCATTGCCGTGTAGCATTTATGATTGAGGAGGGCCAAATGTGACACAGTTCCTACACGTTTACCACTTTGAGGAAAATAATGACAACAGGTGAGGTGCTGACATACCAAGAATCATAAACAGTGCAAATATTGGAATTTAACCTACACTCATTAGATCCTGGGATAAGTAATGGATTCAACTCTGCACAGCAAATTGCAATGCTTTAGACATCTGGACCACTAGCGCCCCTCAAGGTCTGTAACTAGTTGAATCTGGAGTACTAAGCTAATTATGAGCACAAGGTACACAGGTTTACAAGCTGCACAAGCGAAAATGGATTTCTGAGTTTACATGTGTAATGAACATGTTCACATGCAGAAAGCTTTTAGTGAGGTGGTCTGATTCAACACTTATGTGCTGTGACATGTCAAGAAGCGACTTCTGTAAACAAAAGTCAGACTAGTGGCTGGCTGGTCACCGAGACTGAAGGAGGCTTTGGGTAAGGCGGAGCAGTGGCTACCCAACACATGGAGCCAGTTGGTCAGCTCTTCCATATTCATTTACTTAGGCTGGAATTGGCTATGACCCTTTGGCTGGAGACACCGTACCACAAATAGCTACTTGACTATATTAATGAAAGGCTAAACAAAATAAAAGAACTGGTTCTCAATGGCACTTTCACTTTTGAGTTGGGTGATTGGAATGTTATACATGTATTTAGGCCAGAAAATTATATATTTCATGGCTTACAGAATCTTGTGTGAGTGAATGAGTGAGTATAGTTTTATGACCCTTTTTTTAATAGCAATATAATAGCAGCACATGGCAGGAACCAGCCGACATGGGCTGCAAATATTGTACCCATGTCGGGCCTCAAATCCAGCCCTTGAGTTATACAAGTAATCATTTTAACCACTAAACGATCAAACCACCCCATTTTATGTGTGAACAATCTTGGTCATTAGAAGAATATTTTTTTTATTTTAACTGTCTCCCAAAATTAATCGAATATGTTGCAATGTGTGCAATTCTAGCTAAGCTTTTCTCATAGATTAACCTATTATATCCATATTTGTATTGCAAGCTACCTGATTGTATGCCCCTCCCCACAATTGTGGTGAAGTTTTCATTTGGTGGAATAAGAAAATAATTCTTTTGAGATTTCATTTTCCCCTACTTTTCACCTCTTTAGGGTGAGCTGAAACCAATTAATTAAGTAAGTCCAGCTTTATGTCAAAAAGTGAGCCAGATGAGCATCTGATTAATGTGGTTTCCTGCTGGGGTGTTGCTGTTGATACAGCAGTGTATGAGAACCAAGGGAAATCTTCCATCATAAAGAATGGGTTGGTTGTACAACCATACAATTACTAATGTGATTAACTTGTAGAAGCATGTGCCGATATCTGACATTTCTAGCGTGTCACAACCCACCTTGGGATCTGGCTTTCTTCGTGGTAGAGGGCATGAGCTTAGCCTGCTGGGCTTCCAGTTGTTTCTCCTGAAAATACATAAGGTACACTGACATCATTTCTTGTTGTGAAAGAAAGACTGAGAAAATCTGCCCTTCGTAAAAGGGCAAGAGCAAGCTGCCTTTTTGTCATTCCTCGAATAACCAAAATGTTATATATTAACTGACTAAAATTAGACACTGTAACATAAATAAATTGTTCATTTCAACTGGGACAAAACCATCTTGTCCTCACTGCCTGATTTTCTTCACTGAGAGAACCATTTCTACTCTGAAATCAGTAAATGGTCAGGTTCAAGACTGAATTCTATGACACTGATTTGAGGTAATGTATTTTGGATAGCCAACAGGTGATGAACCAGATGAAGTGATCAAATGTAACAAATGTTATATGTGGGAAAACACTTTCTTAGTTAACTTTCTTAGTTAAGTACAAATTCTAGTACTTTTTTAATCAACCCCCAAAAAGATCTAGAATTTGTACTTGATTAATAAAGTGTTATCCCAAATATAACATATGCTACAAATTGATGACAATGATCATAATGAAGGATTCCCAAGAATAGAATGACACATATCATAATATATCAGTAGAACATTGTGCAATGTTGACAGCAACAAATCCTTCTTGGTACATGCATTATGGAATATATGCTGGTTATGTTTTCATTGACGGGACTTCTCATTCACAGTGAGACAAAGGGATGGCTGTGAAACTGGTATGAGGTAAAGCATAAGCTAATCCTTGTGTTCGTGTTAAGATTATTGGCACTGTTTATACAAATAAACTGCCGCAAGTTTGAGGCAGGATTCCTGCAATCTAGACTGGAGTGGTACACATGGGGTTATCTCAAGTAGTTGGTGATCACCCAACTGACAGAGGTGGGGTGGGAGGGCGCTCGTGAGCAAACATCCATGGGGAGAAATTCAGGTTTCTCAAGAGCAGAACCTGGTGTTTGACAACTGTGAACACATTCAGGTTGTTGTCATCCGTCACCCTATCAATCTCTGCCAGTAGGGCGTCCCTACCCTCCAAAACAAACGGCTAATTGGTCAACAAATTTTTGTGTGTCATGGCTCCGAACAGGTGAAAAGGCATGTTTGACAAGGGTCTGGGTACACTGTCTACCCGGTTGTGGGGCTTCAGCTCGCCAGTGTTTTGCCGACTACGGTCCAAACACGCTAATCCTCAACACACGGGCCAGGGCACAAGGGGTGGGACGTGACAGCAGGGGCCCTGTTTCAACAGTTTTGTCAGGATGTTGTCGACATATGTAATCTGGCACTACACTGCTGGCTACATGGACTGACGCACCTTGATGCAATCGAGACTGAAGACAATTGCAAGCATCTCACAAGACAATTGCACAGCTACCACTGTCATAAACTTTTGGACAGTTTTTACATAGGCTGACACCCCTGGATATAAAGTGAGAAACAGGCATGGATTTCACAAAAAAATTGTAGCAGTATGAAGGTCTTAACATCATGACAGTCTCACATGGACTGACCTAGACTTTGGACTGATCCTGAGGACCAGGGCCCGGTTCCACAAAACGATCTACGACTGTCTAAGTCTAAAGTATGGAAGTAACAATCACCTTAGCACTACGATCGCTTTGTGGTTTTGGGGCCCGGGGTTACAGATCACAGAACAATTGTTGCACTATGACCATCTTGTACAGTATGACTGTAGACTTGTACACATAGACTCCAAAGCTATGAGTATCAGTAACTCCTATACTTTAACATACACAGATGGGCGAGCTAAAATCCAGTGGTGAAACAGGGTCCAGGAAGCCAAATTCTACAGAGTCTAAACCCACCTAAAGTCTAATTGATCTGTGTAAGGCACCAGTATGGTTTGTTATAGAGTTTCTTCAATAACATAGACAAAAATCCTAGAACAGAAAGTGACATAGTACTTACTGACACACAAGGATCTAATTTGCCTGGTATAACAGACATAACGGAATGATGGTCACACCTTGCAAGAAGAAACATTTCAATCAACATGAAACTGATAGGTTGTGTATTACAAAACAAATGGTGAATGAGATGTGTTTGCATTATCCTAGCCATTGGACTATAATAAAGCACTCAAAGAAGAGGCTTCATACAATGTACCAATGTGGGTAATCAAACTCAGGTATTCAGCTAACTAAACATTTCCAACCACGAGGCTACCCAATTTCCCTGAAAAACATATCCCCAATAAGAAATGCAACTCCATTTCCTACACAAAGAATAGGAACAGTGTTTGCAAATTAGACATATGAGAATATACATGGCCTGATAAGTAGCAAAGTCTTAATCTGCAATAACAAGCTGACAGTGGGAAGTTAATCCTGACAAGTCTTCAGCGCTTAGTAGCCAGTGTTTGGCCTCCAGCTCTGCCAATATTTGGCTGGTGACACCATACTGTGTGTTGGTGTTGTGTTGGTGTTGTGTCGTGTTGTGTTAGCTGCTTGTGTAGGATCACCTGGTGTCAGAAGATCCAAAGTTACATCATCTCACTCTGTGCACTGTCAGCATGGCATAACACTATTTACTATCTCGACATAGACTGTTCGTGAAACTCTAGTACCATACCAGGAGGAAGAGCTGACTTAGGTGGAACAATTATACTGAACATATGTATATATGTAAGTACTTCATGTTGGTAAGGAGTGAGTGAGTGAATATTGCTTAACGCCACATCAGCAATTTTGCAGCTATTCGCGGCGACCATGTTGGTAAGGAAAATGCAAATTTCCAGAAGGATATGTATATAAATAACTCTTGTATGACAAATACTCTCCTACCTTCAGTGAGTGAGTATGGTTTTACACCACTTTTAGCAATCTTCCAGCAATATCATGGCGGGGGACACCAAAAATTGGCTTCACACATTGTACTCACGTGGGGAATCGGGCCCGGGTCTTCGGCATGACGAGCGAATGTTTTAACCACCAGGCTACCCGACCACCCCTCTCCTACCTTCAATGACCAGGGCCCTGATCCACAAAGTGATCTTGACGCCATAACTATTGTATCTCAATGTTAAAGTATGGCTTTTACAATTATCTTAGCGCTAAGATTGCTTTGTGAGACATGGTCCTGAAAAACTTCAATATCAAAGCAAGCATCCCATGCCCAAATCAAAGAATCACAGGGCTATAAAGGAACTAAATAAGAAAAGAAAATAACTGCAGGGTGAATATTTAATGAGAATAATGGAACCAAATAACCTAAAAACCTGCATGTTAATTTCAGAAACAGATTTTAATTTAATTGATGCCCATGTGAGGATTAACAAGATGTGACTGATATGGCAGCATGTCTTTGTAGATAGAAGCGCAAAAATTAGATCAATCTCATTTTTAGTGTCATGTCTCATCCTTAAACAAGGAAACAAACTCGCACACACACAGAAAAATACTTAGATCAGGCTACAAGTAAACGCAGGCCAGACAAACAAGCTTTGACATAAGCCCACTTGACTTTCAGTCAGGTGAGCTAAAACGTTAGGTGTGAGGCATTCTATTTTTTACATTTATTTATTTTCAAACACACTGTTCAAGGCATCTGTGTACTGTGAATCACATGAACCATGAATGTCTGGTAAGTCAGTTTATGTGGCCTATTTCATCAAGTAAACACAGAAGGCAACACACAGTGATTTTCTTCATCTGCAGGTATTTGATATGATAAAATTATGTGAGAAAGGGTGTTTGGTATTGAGGCATGTGGAATAAAAAATATATATATATATATTATGGACTAAATTGCAAATAGACAGGGGTTAAAAATAACAAAATCTACAAAAATGATAGAAACAGACCAGCCTGTCAAAGAATGATACTTCTTAAAAATGCAACCATCCAAATAACCACACTTGACACTTTACTATCCTCTATTTATCAGAGAAACACAAACAGAGACAATGGTCAACCAAATGAACATAAAATTGTCAAGGAACCCAGTGCAGTGGCAATATGATACACCAGCCCACAACCTCTAACCTCTGACCTTGTGTCTATGAAACAGGAGACACTGTCTAGGGAGAATACATCAATTCATTAAAACATAAAGCTAATTAATAGAGAGTAATTAAAAATCAATGTGAGTTTAGGAAGTATGAGTGTTGGGTATCAGGTCCCAGTTAGGATGAGGAGTCCAAGCTTCCCCTATGGCGAGGCCTGTCAGCCCTAATACCCCTCACACGCAGTCTGACGCTAATAACATTAACTAGAGTATAAACCAAAGCAAATTCAATCAAAGACCAGGCCCTTGTCCCAACAATCAAAGGCAACTCACAAAACAAATGCAAAGGGTGCTTGTCTTCCCATAAGGGCTTCTCGGATAATCAAAACACAAAGGAATTCCAATAATATTTCCTACTTCAAGCAAAAATGACTACTTTTCGAATCCCCAACTGTCAAAAGCAACCTTTTTATGCAAATGAGGATTATTATTTTTGATATGAAACCTTATTATTTGGCATCCCCAAATTATGTCTTCCTGATGACTGTGTTTGTGGTCCAGGGACAGGTCATTTTATATTCTTCATTTTGGGAGAGAATGTTACAGTAAATGCTGACGGGTCATTTAAAATTCTTCCTTTTGGGGTCATATGGTGAATGTGACAAGCCCTGATAAAACTGTTAGTATGTACAAATCAGAATATCCCAGAATATCAGCAGCTTCTGGTCAACACGCAAGACCATCACCTTCCAAAGAACATAAGACTGAGCACTCTTGAGCAGGGAGCATCTGGACAAGAGTGCGATTTATTATTATATCACTATTCACGAACTTGTGGTTTACTACAAGAAAAGCTATGGAATAAATAAAATTATTTTACTTTGATTTACCAATTACTTTTCAGTTGATAACCTTATAAAAACATCTGGACAAGAAGGAACTTCACACAGACATTCATACCAATGCTTATGAATAACAAAGACGATAAAGATTAGTGATTCACCATTATACTAAAAGATTTATAATCCAAAACAATCTTATTGGTAATCACAAGACATTTTTAA